TACACTGGATAGTGATTTGGCCGTAAAGGGGATCCAGACAAGTTGTGGGAGACTGGCTGAACTTGCAATGCATGAGAACTTTGGCAAATTGTCCACATCACCACCTCGGAGTTGGAAAAACGAGATGCCACGGCGGTCTTCAAAGCAGCACAGGCTAAGGCAGTTAGGTGTTCTTCATGCCATGACCAGATGCCTGGGCCCATGGCCTCTCACCCCAGGCACAGCCGAGTAACACCCCAGCAAGGCTCCTTCCTCCTTCTCCAGAGGATTCTAAACCAGAGAACAGGGCTACTGTGGTTATTGTTCCAAAGGCCCCTGCATGCTAGAAGCAGACGTGCCACGGGCTGTTAGCGCAAACGTGTACAGACTTGTAGGTGTGTGCATTTTCAAAACGAAAGATTGCTTCACTGACGGAGCAAAGGAAATCAGATCACACTGGCTTTTCTCAGTTTGCAAGTTCTGCACACACAGAGAAGCTACTGAAGTTGTAAGCCTGGTCGGTCTTTATTTCAAAGTAGCGACTGGCCTAATCCACAGTAGTGGAGGCCACTTTCCAGCCCTAGGCCGGCTTCAGAGATGCTGAGGCGCTGGGGGATTTGTGTGCACAAAAGACCTATCCGTCCCTTAGATCTCACCTCACACACATGTGATCACCGTACGACTGCCCGCCTGAGCCCAGCAGGGGGCCGCTTCCAAAGACAGGATCCCCTGCCTGTGTCTGAAAGAGACTTGCAAGAAATACAAATGCTAGTTAGCTATTTCCTGGACCCTGGTTATTTACCAGACTAGACCCCTCTCTGAGAAGTGTTTAATCCTGCATCAAATACAGAAAGGCAAACCATTGGCGTTAAGAGAACCAGAGTTAAAAAAAGGCAAGCAGGTGCTCCAGAAAGGACCATTATTCGAGAAGGACCCAGAACTCTGGAGAGGAGAAGGCCTGGCCACAGCTGTTTCGGGAGTAGTCACGATAACTTGCCAGTTCACTCCAGTGCTGGAGAGGATGTAACGACGGGGAGAGAGTCTTTCTCAGCACACTTGGTGTATGTGAAGGTCTCACAGCCTCCGGAGACATGCTGTGGAGACAAGAGTCCCAGCTGCACCAGTCCACATGGCACTTGGCACCAGGCTGCCTGGGAAGCCATGGCCCCCAAGCATGCTCAGAGTCCCAGGATCCTGGCTAGAGGGCTGTCTGTGGACTCAGGGCCACCCCGCCCTGTCTTCCCGTGAAATGCCCAGCACCGACTTGTGAGGGATTCTGCACTCTTGCAGAGATTTGGTGAGGTCAAAGAAACGTCTCCTGGGCACCTCCATGGTCTCGATGCTGCAGTGTCGGTAGGTGGTTTTGTTCTCCTGTTCTGCCACGGCGATAACTGTTTGTAAGTCATCGGTTGGCCGGAAGTGGCGTACGAACCTTTGGCCTGACGGTGATCTGACAGCAAGCAGCAGCCTTGGTTCCCGATCTGATGGCTCCTCTAGATCTCTAACCCTGGAGGAGCCCCGACTCTTGGTTTGGACGTTGGGTTTCCCTTCTGGGTCACAGACTTGAGTTCTGGACGCTTCCTCACATGTCTTCACAGGGCAGGTCTTCTCTTGATACAGAGCCCGGATGCTGCTCAGGTGCAGTGAGCTGGCTTTTCTAGCCACTGTTTCCACAGCCCCCTCCTCTAGGCTCTTTCTGTGAATAGAAGGAAGGACTGGGTATTTATTGAGAGAAGAGGAAGCCCCAATGGGAACTTGCTGCAGCAGCTCAGGGATCTCATCGGGAGGCCCCTGATTTGGAGAGCTGGGTGCACAGGCTCCTGGCTCCTGGCTGCTGGCTGACTCACAGGGAATGGCTGGAGGCAGAGAAGGTGGTACGTGGTGAGAGCTGACCTCTGTGCCCTGGGATTTGCACAGACTCGGCCGGGTGCGTCCCTTGGCGGACTTGGGCCTTATGACATGCATGTTTAGTGGCCGTGGCTGCCAAATGATGCTGTCAGCTGCTGTGCCGCCGGCGGTGCTGCATTCAGGTGGTGGTATATGCACAGGGGCTTCTGTGGCCATTGCTTCTCGAGATCCCTAGGGAGGCAGGGAGGAAACACAGGAGGCCATGGGTTAAACTTCACAGGACTCCTAGATCTAAACCAGTCGCTTTCCAAGTGCCCAGAATAAGCACCAACAAGGCTTTCAGACCATATCAGTGAGCCAAAGTCCTTGCAGCTTAGATTATTACAGTTAGGAAAGACGGAGGCTAAACACACAAGTTAACATATTTTCAAAGAGTAATAATTGCTATGCAACAGAGTATTGTACCAGAGTGTGACCATGGCTGGGGACTGAGTCTTAAAAGGAGGGGCCTTTAAGTTGAGAGACTAGAATGACCGGAAGGAACAAACCACGTTACACTGTAGAGCAGGAGTCAGCCACGTTTTATCATAAGTGTTTTTGGCTTTGGGAGCTACATGGTCTGGTTGCCACTACTTAGCTCTGCCACTGCAGCACAAAAACAGCACAACAGCACAGTCAACAACTGACTGTGGCTGTGTTCCCATAAAACTTTATTTGCAAAAGCGAGAGGTGGACCACATTTGGTCCCCGGCTGTAGTTTGCCCGCCCTGATCTAGAGGGAAAATGCACAAGGAGGGAAGAGCAAGGGTGAAGTCATGGAGCAGGGCAGAGCCTGCTGTGCCAATTTCCTGGCTTCTAGCCCACTCCATGGACTTGGAGGCTTATGCGGGAGTGTTGCTAGCAGCTGCCTTTGCTCGAGTGAGAAGCCCTGTTAAATTACAGGGAGGGGCCAGCAGGAGGCGCAGTGGTTAAGGCACTGGACTCCCAAGTGTCCAACCAGTTTGAATTTCAGACCCTTGGCTTGAATCTCACATTGGGCACATGTTCGTGCCTGCCCAAGATGCTGAGAGGAGAATGGAAAAGGGATTGCGGCATGACTGTCCTCCCTCTGTCTCTGTCCCTCTGTCTCTCTGACAAGTGCACACGTTCTCCAGCAAAAATCTCTGAAAAAAAAATCACTAAGCAGGGAAGAGAGGTAGTCAACAAATCTCTTCCCGCACTCCCCTGTGGTGAGCCCCCATAAACCAGGGGCAAGCAGTCTGCTCTGGTTGGGTACTTACTGTGAAGAGCCATACTTTAGGACCCCCGTGTCCCCCTTGTCTCTCAATCCTTTCTCATTGCTTTTCCCCCACTACCCCTAGTTTGCTCTTACTTCATTTTCCTTCCTATTGTCCTTTGATTCAACCTTGCCAGGTGGTTCTGCACAAGTCACGTAATGAAATGCCCCTCCACTGTCCTAGCGTTGTCCAGGAGCTGGGGGGAGAGGAACAGGAAGGCTCCACTGCTGGTCCAGCCATCTGCCGGAACTCGCAGGGGAGGTGCAACTGGCCCCATATCTGCGGATTCAGCCACAGCAGCGGGAATGTTGCTGACTGTACCGTACTTAGGCGTGATGACGGTGGCATCTGCACTGAGCATGTGCAGACTTTTTTTTTAAAAGTTTGCTATAGGGTACATGCGCTCACCAGAGAGAGAGAGAGAGAGACAGCGAGATGGAATGTGAGAAATCACCCACCCGGCCGGGGGAGAGATGGCCACACCACAATCCCTTCTCCTCCAGACTCCTCTCAAGATTTGGGGTACATATGTGCACATGCCCGGCATTGGCCGTGTGGGATCCAGCTACCCTAACCTCCACGCCACCTGCTGGCCCCAGATTATTTTCTCGTCATGAGTCCATAAACAAGTATAAGAAATATTGGCAGAAAGTTGCATTTATTGATACGTTGTATTGGGCACTGTAAGTAACAGACGGGTGACTTAGAGTATGTGAGGGGATTTGTAGGTTATGTGCAAATGCTTTACATCGGTGGGGTTTGGTATCCTCAGAGGTTCCTAAACAATCCCCTGTGGATACCAGGGGACACCTACACTGATGCCAGACTGGGGTCAACAGGCCTTTTCTGTAAAGAGCCAGACAGTGCAAACTTCTGGCTTTATGGGCCAGGCAGTCTGCACAGCTACGGAACTGCCTTGTGGTGCAAAAGCATTAGATGTATGTAAATGAGTGGGCGTGGCTGTGTCCCAGCACCACAGTGTGTAAGGAAATGGGCGTGGCTGTGTTTCAATAAAACTGCATTTACGGACTTCGAAATTTAAATTTTATAAAATTCCATGCATCACAAAATATTCTCCGTTTGGATTTTTTTCAGTGATTTAAAAATGTAAAAGCTACTCTTAGCTCATGAGCCACGCAAAAACAGGTGGTGGGCAGGATTTGATCTGTAGGCTGTAATTGTCGAACTCTGTCCTACACCAGCTTTGAAGGGGAATTTGGCACAGGCTAGTCTATACAGCCAGAAAGGTAGAGTGACGGCTGGTGGCAGCGCGTGGAAGAGAACTCAGGGCTCGTGGCGTTCAGCCCTGAGTCCTTTGCACCCAGACAAACTGCTTCTTGAGGACCAGTCTTGGCTGGGTCCCAGCACATCACATTCTGTCTCCCAGTAGCTGTTTACATTTCTGTCTGCTCAGCTACCTTGTAAACGCTGTGGGTGCAGCTGCACTGGGGTCCACACTCACAGGGCGCTCTTGAGTAGATCCCACAGAAGGTACTAAATGCAACCTGGGCATTTCTCTGTGCAGACCCAGAATCTCCAAATCACGTCACCCGTTCTTTCATTGCTACCGTGGTGGCCCATCATGAACACCTCCCCCAACCCCCGCTGACCTCTTTTCCAGAACACTGCAAACACCTCCCTCTCAACCCCAACCCCACTCTGACTGCTACTCTCTCTGCTCACAGGCTAATCAGGTCTCTCCTAGTTTTCTAAAGACTTCCTGGTGACCTAGTGCCTCATGGTCCTTGGGTGCAAAGGACACAGGATGGGGTGTCACAAGGCTTGGATTCTGTTTCCGGCTCTGCCACCAGCTAGTCATGTGACCATGGGCCAACTCTTCTACCCTCCTGGTAAGTAACGGTCCTCATTTATCAAATGACCTTGACGGTCTGACTTCGGTACTTCTGACCATGGGTCTCCTTGTCTGCAGGAAATAACGGAGGTCAGGTGGGAAGGTCTGGCACATGGTAGTGGCTTAATTCAATGTTAATCAGTGTGTGCTTTTGTTCTTGGCTTTCTGTTCGTCAGTTTAGTTCTTTCTCTCGTTCCAGGCAGGCCTTACTTGTTGCTTTAGAGCGTTCCCCAGGTGCCCCATGATTGCATTCCTAGTCACCTACCCAGCCGGTTACCCGGGGGGCTTCTGCCTGCCTTCTCCAGTGCACAGAAATGCCAGGAGGCTGATTTCCATGCCATACCACGTATGCAGCAAAGTCCTGAGCTGATTACTTCCCTCCTAATTCCACATTTTTCCTGACTTTCAGTTCACTTCCTCCAAGTACCCTTCACCCACAACACAGGGCAGTATAGGTCAAGCCCCTTCGGCTTTGTGTCGTCACCTCCCCATGCAGTGCCTGCTCCTGGTGTTGCCTAATTATAGGGCTCTCCTCCTCCTCGCCACTAAAACGGCGAACGAGACACGACATTCGACGTACTCCTGACGTACTGCTCTCGACATCCCGGACAAAGTCGCCCTCGCTTTCTTACTTTGAAGGCCTCTGTTTGCTCCGTCTACGCCCGCCCAGCTCGCTGCTTTCTCCACGCCCACTTCTCGCCGGCTTCGCACCCAATCTGGCTGCTGGTGGTTCAGGAGCCTTCTCCTCAGTAAAGTTTGGCATCAAAAAAGCCTGCCCATCTCCTTGCTAGTTTCATCTATTTTCTGATCAAATGTGAGGAATGTGTTTTTCCCCTTTTAGTTTAGTTCTAAAATCTTTCCCTTGTAATGAAGCAGCGCTGCACTTGAACTTCGGAAGGCATGAGGTCCTCACTGACCAGCTGTCCTGCCCAAGATGAGCTCCCCCTGCTCCGCCTCCCCACCCCTCCCCCCTGCTTGTGGAATGGCCATTAATTTGCCACAGCAGCTTCTCCAGAATTATCACAGGCTTGGCTCCCAACACCCACACATGCCGCAGGAAGGTTTAACTGTCAGTAAGTTTGGTAACTTAGAAACCTCTTCTTAACAACTTTGATGAGGGAAGTCATGTGTTCTCACAGGCTTTCTGCGGGATTATTTTTAACAGAAAAACTCGAGTATGTGCATGCACTTTCTATACCTTTTGGTACTATATAATTATCCATGTTCAGGGGGCGTCATAGTCAAGACACCCTGGTCATAAGATAACATGACTGCGAGCTATCTCAGAGAAAAACCTCAATTATGACTAATTCCTATAAACCCACACACGGTTATTTAGAGACTAACACCTCCTTCAGGTAAAACCGTTACATCCAACCTGCTTTCATAACCCACTGCCTCCTCCCGAGCTCAGGGACCATCTGCTACACGAAGGGAACACCAGCTCTCCCTAGCATCCATCACATGGGTGGGGAGGTGGGGAGACAGGTGTTTGGGGATCTGAGCCAACTGTGTCTTTATAGTCGCACTTTGGGTCCCGAACTCTGCCTGTAGCTCTCAGCCAAGGAAGGCAGCAGCCATCATTATCCTTACTCAGCTTATTTCCCCACCGCCGGGACTGGCAGACACTCAACCACAAAGTGATTTGACAGATCTAGGCGTAGGCATCCATCAAGCTGCCAGCGGAGTAGGCAAGTGGCCTGTTGACTTAAACACAAGAGCTGCACCCCAGAGGCCTGCTGGGAATCGGGAAACAAACACTGGTAACGGTTTCCAAGAAGTTGCCAGAAGGGCGAGTGCCCCTTCCTTGAGATTAAGCACCAAATCAACTGGAAAGAGAGAAATGATCTGATGGGAAGGGCTAAAGCAAGATCCCTGCTTTCACATCCCTGCCCACACCCACCGCAGGGCCAGACCACCCCATTTCACTCACAACCCAAATGGAAACCTACAGTAAATGCAGTAAAATATAACCACCTACATACCATCTGCTGGTATATACCAAGATGCATATATTTGAATTGGTCTTTTAAAAATGTTTATCAGTTAATACTATCCCCCGCCAATCCCGCCACCAGGCTTGCAGGATGCAAACGCTTAGAAGAATCAACAGGAGACGATAGTTGGCCTGAGAATGAGAAAACTTTGGGACCATTCCCAGTTCCACCCAGACTAATGATTAGAATACACTGTCCTGTGCAAAGTGCTACATTGAACCAACCACGAGCTACCAAGTGATCCAAGGTTAGCAAAGGGAACTGGGGATGATTCGAGCACAGAAGGGGGGTGGCGGGGATAACGAAATGATTTCCAAGTTCCGACAACCCTAGAAGGAAAGAGGCTTAGGAGTGAAAGGTGGAGTTTGGAGGAGGGGCAAGAAAGAGCATCTAGAAAGTGAGAGTTGACTTGGGTGAAAGAGCACAGATCTGGGGGAGGCCCCATCTGTTTCCGTCTCTGCGTGTGAATGGGACATCCTTTCCTCTCCTGCCTGTACAGCCCAGCAGGGGGGCATGGCTCAGCGGATTCGTAGGCCCCTGGGCTTCTGCAGAGCCTGGGCGTTGTCCTCTTTCAGAACGGTGAGCTCTGGCCAAGCTTGCTTAGCCCCTGGGGGCTAGCGACTTCTCCCAAGGTCCCTCTCCCATCTCTCAGGGTTAGTCTCTGGGGGACTGATTTTGGGGGCGGCAGGGGCGGTCGCCCAGGGGACAGAGGGGATGGAGGGCTTGGGGCCGGCCTCTCCAAGCCCCCTCCAGGCCGGGTGGGGCTGTGGACCAGCTGCGGGATTGGGCAGCGGGCAGAGCTCACCTCACCGCTCTGCTCTGCTCCATCCGCCAGGCACCAGGAACCCAGCTCGTCCCACTGGTAAACAGCCCGGGTCTCCAGGGCAACCGCTTGGGTGGGGTGCCACGTGCTTCCGGCCTGACCGGAACCCGCTGAACTGGCTGGGTCAGTGTGGGGTTGGGGGAGCTGAGCTGGGAAGGCCGGAGCTCTCCTAGACCTGCTAGGTGGAGGCCTGCGTCTCCTGCCTCTCTTCTTCCGCTTGCCTCCTGGGGAAGAGTGCACACTGTCCAGGGGAAGGAGAGCTCTGGCCTGGGGTAGGGAGGCTGGGGAGAGTCTGGGGCAGCCTCGCTAGCCTCAGTCCCATCCTGTAGCCTTGGGTCAGCCCAGTTTTAAAATAAGACTATTGAACTGATTGACTGGTGTGAACCCCTGAATCAGAATGGCTGCTTCGGGGCTATCTGAGCTGGGGAGCAGGACCCCTGGTCTGTCTCTCCATCCTCTGCAGCCCTCCCAACACGTTACCTAACCTCCTCATTTCCACGTGGCCGCCCAGTCCTGAGCCTAGAAATCCACAGCAATGCCCAGCCTCTGAGTGTCCTCGCCCGGCCCTGGTGATCCCAGCAGCTGGAGGCACCTCTTGTGCTTTCCAACATCTTTCAGATGGCTCCAGCCCGTCGCCTCCGATTTCCCCTGCCTGTCAGCCGGCCTCCCCACCCTGCTCAGTCCATGGCCTGTTACCTCAGCCATTCTCTCCACAAGAGTCTGCCATGCCTTTGTCCTGCGCTCTCCATCCCTTCCACCTGAGGAAACCCAACCCCGATCAGTCTACCCACTCTTGGGTACCAAGGACATTTTGGACACACAAGGCATAACAGAAATGTATGGTCTACAACCTCAGTTGCATCCTCAGCCCTACGCGAGAAGCCTCCATTTTCTTCAACTCTGATCTCTCTCCGTTCTCTCCGGTGGCTATTTCAAACCTCATCCTTGCTCCTAAACCTCCCACCTTCCCCGCTCCCTCTTCCCTCTCAGAAGGTAACCTTACTGCCCTCTTCAGAGAGACAATAGAAGCCATATGGAAGTTTCTCAGCCTTCTGCCACCAGACCTAAAACGGGCCTGCCTTTCCTTCCCTCCTTCCCTCCTGTTCCAATAGTGAGGCTGCCCCGCAGCCACCTGATTCTGTGCGAGACAGCTGCTGCTCCAGGGTGCTCTGAAGCCCTTACACAGCCCCACATCCACACCCTCCCTGACTCCAGGCCTTTGCTCTTGCCTCCCCTGCCGCACCCCCACTTCATCTGCCTAATTGCCATTTACCATCCAGGTCCCAATTTAACAGATGAAACCTTCCTTCCAGGATGGAATTAAGATGGCTTCCAAAGGAATCCTTGCCAGACTACTGTCTGCCAGGCTGTGTTCTGGACTCTTGGCATGTGCAGATGAAAATTTAGTGCATATTATTAGGACACATCGTCTGTTAGGAGACTTTCAAGGACCATAGGCTCATTATCTAGCAGTGTGGCGGAATATTTGCTATCTGGTCTGTCCTGGACCCAAGGACACAGGATTTTGCTATGAGCACAACTCTAGCCCTCTTTCAAGGCATTCACAATTTGGGTGAGAAAATTCATTGCACACTGAAAGAGTTACAAATCAGATTATTCGGAGGCACCGGGAGAAGAGCAGGCACAGGCTGGACACGATTACGTGCCAAGTGACTGGCACAGACAGAGGGTTCTTTGGGGTCTGGCAGGAGGCGATGATTTCCGGGGTGGTGTTTCTGTCCAGCTCAGAAAGGACGCGCCTGATCTGTAGGAGCAGCTGGTGAGGGCCAAACAGGTGGCCTGGCCCCTCCTCAGCTCCACACATACAGAAGGCCTCTGTCCCTCCCCCAGTCTAATCTGTGGCCCCGGGAAGGTGCAGGAGACCGTGGTTTTAGGAGCTGGCATTTTTGCAGCTCAGTGCTGGCAGCTTATTTCTTGTTAATGATTCTGTCAGAAATATCTAAGCAATGCTCTTCAGCCCTCAGCACCCACCCAAAAAAGATTAAAGTGGATTTTTCATCAGCTATTTTAATATCACCTAAGCATTATGCAACCCGTTGGAAAATTAAGCTGGCTTCTCGCCACCCTCCCACCCCCCTCCCCTCCGTGTGTGTGCGCGTGTGCTTGCTGGTGCACCGTGTGATGGCGGTGATGCCAGGGTCTGTGCGGTGCTCAGTAATGCCTTTGGCTTTCCCAGCGTCCTGTGGTGCAAGCCCCAGGGGGAGGCCAGAGGGAAGGAAAGGGTTGGCCAGTTCACTGTTGCGTCTCTGCTCCCTTTGTCCCCCACCCGTCTTCAAAGAGTGTCTTCTGAGGATGAACCCTATAAAGTCTCTCTGGCATACTCAAAGGAGGTCCTCAGTAAACAGGGACAGAAGTCACTGCCCTCCCAACCTAGACGTGGGCTTGCCTTCCTTTCCAATCACGTCCCACTCTGAGCTCTCGTCCTGTGGCCGTGCCTTACCACTCTGTTTCCCCTCAAGTCTCACGTGGTCTTTCTGATCTCTCTTGATACAGTGGAGCAAACCCAAGAGGGTGCCTTACCTGTTCACTAGGTCAGCTCCTCTCATCCCCACATCCTCCAGAGAGGGATCATTGGCCTCCTTGGCCTCAGGCAGTAGGTGTAACTTAGCGCCCCCAGCTGATGAGGCAGATGGTTTTAAGACTCACACTTAGCTGGTTTCAAAACCTATCCTGGGGATCTGGCAGGTGGCATAGTGGTTAAGTCCCTGGATGCTCACATGGCCAATTGAAGTTTAAGTCCCAGGCCTGGCAACTTGAAAATCACACTGGGTGTGGATACTCAAAATCGCAGGAGGAGGATAGAGAAGGGATTGCAACATAGCCATCCCCTCGGAGGGTGGAGTGGGGTGAGTAATTTCTCACTTTCCCTCTCACTATCTCTTGCTCTGTCTCTCTCTCTCTCACTAGCAAACACGTGTGCCCTATGACAAAAACCTAAAAACAAAACAAAACAAAACAAAACGAAAAACCCATCCTGGACTCCAGGGTCCAGTCCCCAGCCCCATGTCCCTGCATGGCACTTTATCCATACCCACCCATTACACTGGGCATGGGAGTTGCAGACATGGCTTCTAGAGTCAAAGCTCAAGTTTGAATCCCGGCTTTACCATATGCCAGCTTGGACATTGGGCAACTGATTTAACTTCTGTGGACATGGGTTTCTCCATCTAAGAATGGAGCTGATCAGATTGTGTGAGGCTTACACACGGTGATACACGTAAAGGTCTTAGCATAGTGCCTGGTACGTGACAAGTGCTTAGTGAAGCTTAGCAGTCATGACAGAGTTTCCATCTTGCAGAGTACATCTGCAATCAGTTACAGGCCCCTCCAGAGCAGGAACTTGCCTGCCTCAGAACCCCGTTTTGCCCACACAATGCCTACTTCCTGGTAGATGCTCAGCAACTGAGAATGAAACTAATGATGGTGGTGCAGATCCCACGGCAGGCTTTTCTTCTGAGCCATCCAACAAGATGCCAGTGGGTTTCCTCATAAGAGTATCTAGCTTGAAGTCTAAATGACCTCCCCAGGGCTGGCTGAGGTAGAAGCTCCAGTTTCTTAACTGCTGGTCTCCAAAGCACATGTGGCTCCATTTTGAACTAACAACTTCCAGAGTGGTGGACTTCCGGGTGTCCTGCTCTGTCTGTCCTTAATCCCGCTAAATATGTGGATCGTGATCATAGATCACAGCAGGAGGTGGACAGAGAGGGTAACCTGCTAGGGGAGCTAAGAGGCTGGCACAACCAGTCTTTATCTCCTGGCGTATCAGCTTCCTGAGGGGACCTCCAAGAGGGACGTTTCCAGATCGTGAAACTTACCCCTTAGAGTACGGTAGCTTTTTATCATTTCTCCCACATTATTAGAAAATTCTCAAAAATGCATTGCCCACGTTCTTGCCTCATTAAGGAGAACATACCAAACACTGACTCACCTTGGCGACTGTTGACCAAGTGCTTTCGGAGCTTGTTGTGTCTTGCCCGCACACCACGGGGGGCCAGAATCATTGTCTCCTCACAAAAGAGGAAGCTGAGGCTCAGGTAGCTTAAATGGTTCTGTCGGGAACATGTAAGGGTTGGGACGGCGCCGGTCTCTTCTTTGACATAGAACCCTGAGTTCATTGCTCTTCGCCTCTGCGGACTCGCACAATGCAACGTTCTCTTGACAACTCAAAGGCAGTAACTGCTCCAGGTGCAATTCTGTTACTGTGGGTAGAGCCCTCTGCCTCTGCACTCAGGGACCCCGGGTTCCTAGGCTCTGCTGGTTATTGTTTTAATCATTCTTCCCTTGCTTCCTACTAAGACAAGCCACTCTAACTCCATTCTTGTTCAACTGCTGGCTCTGAGAAAAAGCTGAGCGGCTTATTAGAATTGTGTCTAGGGCCCGCCAGTGGCATTTTGGTTAAAGTGCTTGGATCTTACATGGCTGACAGTGTGGTTCGAGTCCAGGACCCAGTGGCTTAAAAAACTTGCTTAGTTGGCATAGTGGTTAAGGCGTTGGACTCCCACATGGCTGACCATTTTTCAAGTCCTCGATCCAGCAGTTTGAAACTCACAGTGGGTACATGTGTGTGTATATATCAGAATCCCAAGAGAATAAGGAAGGAGAAGGGACTGCAGCGTGGTCATCCCTCCTAGGGTGTGATTTCTCACTTTCTCTGTCTCTGTCTCTCTGGTGAGTGCACATGCCCTATAGCAAAAACCTCTCAAGAAAGAAAAGAATAACACACTGAGTGCATGCGCATGTGCATGTGTGCCCAAAATCCCAGGAGGAGAACGGAGAAGGGATTGTGTCACAGCCATCACCCCCAGAGATGATTTCTCTCTCTCTCTCTCTCTCTCTCTCCTCTCTCTCTGGTGAGCATACATGCCCTAGAACAAACTGAAAAAAAAAATAGAAACAATTATATCTAAAATAAGAGTGTCTATTTAGCTGCTTGGGTAGTTTCAGGTAGGCATGGGCCTTGGATCCATGATCCTCGTAAATAGGAGAGCAGACCAGGGGTTAAGGGATTAGGAGTGCCAGCTTTGGGGTCACACATACCTGAGGTTAAATCTGAGTCCTAACATTTTTTTTTTTTTTGGAGAGGTTTTTGCTATAGGGCACGTGCGCTCGCCAGACAGACAGAGAGAGACAGAGAGATAGAAAGCGAGAAATCACCCCCCTGGGGGGATGGCCACGCCGCAATCCCTTCTCCTCCATTCTCCTCTCAGGATCTTGGGCACGCACGCACACGCGCCCGGTGTGAGTTTAAGCCACTGGGTCCAGGACTCGAACTGCGGTCGGCTATGTGGGAGTCCAGTGACATAGCCATTACACTAACTGCTGGTCCCAAGTCCTATCTATTTTCAAGGCAAATTCCCAAACCTTTGTCAGCTTCAGTTACCTTCACTGAGAAGCTGGGATTGGCAGTGTATTCCTCATTGGGAATATTCAAAGGGGATTCAAGGAGATAATCCCCATTCTGTGCTTAACCCCATGTTGGTCCTCAATATGTTGTAGTTACTGCTTTTATTTCTGTAAATTGAAATCTGATAAGACCGTGCCCATGCACCTATTCATTCCGTACTCAAATGTTTATTTACTGTCCCTCTCTCTGTACTGATTTCCTTACCTGCAAGATGAGGGTAATAATAGTACTCACCTAGCTGGGAGATATGAAGGTTTAATGAGTAAATACAGGAAAAGGGCCCTGAAACTAGTGTAGAAAATAAGCCCAATGTTACCCATAGTCATCACTAACACTATTAGGTCATTGGGAAAGTCATGATGTTTTTTTTTTTTTTTTTAGAGAGGTTTTCGCTATAGGGCGCGTGCGCTCGCCAGACAGTCAGAGACAGACAGAGAGACAGAAAGCGAGAAATCACCCCCCAGGGGGGATGGCCATGCCTCAATCCCTTCTCCTCCATTCTCCTCTTGGGATCTTGGGCACGCACGCACACGCGCCCGGCGTGAGTTTAAGCCCCCGGGTCCGGGACGTGAACCGCAGTCGACTATGTGGGAGTCCAGCGACATAGCCATTACACTAGCTGCTGGTCCCAATTTTTTGTATTTTTCTATGCAAAAATGCATTATGACTCTCTCAAAGACCCAGTAGCCTGTGGCAGGCATTATGCTAGATAGGCACGAGGGATAAAGAGGTGAGCAAAACAGACATGGCCTCTGTGTAGGTAGAGCTTGCAGGCTTTTGCGTCTTATTTTCTCCATGAGTGGAAAAGCCAGTTGGGAGTGTTTCATCACTATCTGTAAAACGTGAATGGAGGGGTCTGGCAAAAGACTCAGGGTGATTCATAGGGCCCCTCAACTTGCTGACTGCTGCCTAGGAGCCAAAGTCCCTACCACATGCTTGCCCCCCATCCTCTCTGGCCCTCTGACCCATGTATGCCCGGTTTTGTTTCAGCTCTGTCCTAAGCAGCCCCAAACAACTAGTCAAATGGAGAAAGCCAGGCTGGTTTTGCCCAAGGCATAGCCGTGAAGGTCAGTGTCAGTGAAAAGGCTCCCAAGTCTTCAGAATGCCACGCAGGAGAGACGTAGGCCAGGAGCCTGGTGAGGTGGAAAGAGCACTGGTTCAGAGTTAGTTTAAGCTCTGGCCCTGCCTCTTCGAAGCTGGGTCTCGTCAGGTCCTTCTCTCTGAGCCTTGGTTACCTCATCTATCAAACAGGAATGTTCTGGTACCCACTCGGTAATCCTGTAGTGAGGACTAAGCGGAGCAGAACACAGATCTAAGGGAATGCAAGGTCTTCTCAAACACCACCTCCTTTGAGAAACTTTCAGTGACTCTCCTAGGAAGATCCATTCCTTTGCCCTTGGCACTCGAAAACAGTCACTGAATTTTTTTTTTTTTGAGAAGTTTTTTGCTATAGGGTGCGTGCGCTTGCCAGAAAGACAGAGACAGAGAGACAAAAAGCAAGAAATCATCGCCCCGGGGGGATGGCCACACCACAATCCCTTCTCCTCCATTCTCCTCCTGGGATCTTGGGCACACACCCACATGCACCCGGCATGAGTTTAAGCTTCCGGGTCTGGGACTCAAACCGCAGTTGACTACATGGGAGTCCAGCAACATAGCCATTACACCAACTGTTGGTCCTAAGGTGGTCACTGATGTTAATACAACCACTACAGCAATTCCCATCACTCTACATGGGCTTAGGCTGGCACCCAGGAAATAGAGAAGTGCATTCCTGGAAGGCTCTAGAGATAAAGCTTTGGGGACCTGAATAAGGCCAGACTGGGAAGAGGGAGAAACTGACACTCGGCTGGAGAAGTTGGCACAGATGGACGATCTGTCAAAGGGAGAAACTGACACACAGACACACAGAGGCAGTTGCTGAGGTCTTGGCTAATTCTCTAGAAAGCTCACGGGCTTATATGGCCCTTTCAGAGCTGTCCTGAAAGAGGCAGGGATGGCCCTTTAAACCACCACCTCAACCAGACAGGCTAAAGGCTACTCCCTTCTCACTGGGAGAGGTCATACTCCTAGGCCATGCAGATCCCTGCAGCTGGGGGCAGTTCCCAGTGAGTGACAGTGTCAGGAGTAACTGACACCCCATCCCCGGAGAGGGGGCCTACCAGAGACTTTGCTAAACCTTCTAAGACCAAAGGAGAAGCAAACATAGCATCTCTGCCCGCCTGGGGCTGTTGCTGTCTATTTGGTCTGTGTTTTCCTATCTGGTCGCTCCAGCTAGCTTGGCAGCCTCCCTTGGGCCAGAATCCTCTCATTAGAAGAGCACATAGATGGTGCTTACGAAGAGCCTCTCGAATCGCAGGACCCATAATGCACCAGGCCTCTTTGTTCTCTAAAGTGTCATCACCTGCTCATTCGAAAGATGTGAGTCCTTTCTTTATAGACTAAACCCGCATGTGATCATTTTCTTTAGACTCGAAAGAGAAAAAGGAAGCCAGCCTGTAGAGACGGAACCTAATTAGAACACACCCCGTGCAGCAATTGAAATGAAGGTTGGCTGGGACCACATCTAGTCAGGGCCCAGCCTCACGGCATCCACCAGCGTTTTGTCGAAGAGGGCAAAAATAGCAAAGGGACCTGAGGAACTCTCCCAGGGCTCTGCAGGAGCATGGTCACTTTGAAGTTTTCCTGGGAAACTTTGCCATTGGCTATAAATCTATCCAAAACTCTGCACCTGCCAACTTCTCCAGGCTCAACGGAACTATTGTTCCCACTCGAGTCCTGACGTTATCAGATTAAGCTGGATTTATGGTGGGCCTATAGACTGCTTGTAATCAGGAAAGCTGCTGACTGATCATGTAGTGACTCCATGGAGGGGCACAGGGCCACACGCTGCTCTGCTGTCTTGTGGGAAGTTGGCCTAGTGGGTGTCACCACCACGGCTCAGAGCAATACGAATGGTTTGTTTCTCCTTCTTACGGTTATTGCGTTTTATGGTACAAACAAGTTTTACTTTCATTATTTGATCTGTTCCACACATCCGTGAAGTAGATAGCTCTATGGTTACAAGGAATTGATTCACCTCTCTGGGCCTCTGTCTCCCATCTTTAAAATGATATCAAAGCTCTGAAGTTGTTGCGAGGACTAAATAAAGCAATACCTGTGAAGTCCTTAACATTTCTTAATATGGGTTTGAAACTAGTGAAAGTAGTTGCAGTCTTCATTTACAAAAGGGTTCAAGGGGATAAGTTTATGAATGAGATGCTTGGTTATCAAGGAAAGAAAACACGGCGGGACCACGATGCAATGGAGCGAGACTTTCCTGAGCTGGAGTTCCGTTATGAACAACATATTTGTGCTCTAGATTCGAGAACAGAGGGAATATTGACTCTTCGAAAGAAAAAGAAGTGGCCAGCAGGTGGTTCGGAGGTTAAGGTGCTGGATCCCACACAGCCAACTTTGAGGTTCAAGTCTTGGACCCAGAAGTCTGAAATTCACACCAGGTGTATGTGCACGCATGCCCAAAACCCCCAAGAGGAGACTGGAGGAGAAGAGATTGCAGCACGGCCATCCCCTGCGGTGTGATTTTTTTCATGTTCTTTCTCTGGCGAGTATATGTGCGCTATAGGAAAAAGAGAGAGAGAAAGATGAAAGGCTAGTATTGCCAACAAAATAAAAAGAAAGAAAGGAAAAAGGAAGGAAGGACACACATATGCACTTTTCTTTTTGTCTTCTTCTTTTTTCTTCGTCGGAGAGGTTTTTGCTATAGGGCACATGCGCTCGCCGGAAAGACAGACAGAGAGACAGAAAGCAAGAAACCCCCCCCCACCCTGAGGGGATGGCCACACTGCATTCCCTTCTCCTCCATTCTCCTCTCGGGATCCCGGGCACGCATGCCCATGTGCCCAGCGTGAGTTTAAGCTACCAGGTCCGGGACTCGAACCACTGTCGACTACATGGGAATTCAGTGACATAGCCATTACGCTATCTGCTGGTCCCCACTTGCACTTTTCAAACAATTGAACCCTTCTTATTTAGGTCAGACTACCAGAAAGGGTATCATATTTAGAGATGATGAGGTTTGAAAAGGATCTCTCCGAGCTCTCTGCTGAAGGCTCTTGCCGGCTGGCACCGCAGCTGGGGTTTTGCACCCACGTGGCAGTGCCTTGTCTCATTTTGGTCCTTTCCTCCCTGAACAGGAGTCCAGCTGGCGGACCTTCCCATTGCAGACTAAGACCTGCGGGGGCGCCTCAGACCCCTGGTCTCCTCGAGAATGAAGGTCATTGCTGTTCTCATCGTTGTCATCTCTTGCTGTAAGTAGTAAGCCAGTTAGGGGAGCACCAGGGTTTGTCCTGTGGTTACACTGGGCGGGTCCCTCCTCAGGAGGCATCAGTGAGGGAAAGTCACCTGAAAGAGAATCAGGAGGGGAATGGGCTCCCACCAGAGTCCTCCTGCTTCTGTTTCTGTTATTTAAATGGGCTAATCCCAGTGCTGGGATCTCATAAACTTCTAGGAAGTCAACATGTGCTGATCACTTACAATAAGGAGGGGTCTGGCCCTGCTATAGCGGCACAGGTGGTCGGGACTGCTGCGTGAGGCTGGGGCCCATGGAGGCCTGGCCTGGTTCTGGGGCCGAGTGGAGATGTGTGCCTTAGTCCTTGTTGGGAGGAAGCCCGGGGCAGGAGGGCGGCCATGGCAGAAAATGCTCTCTCTTCCTCTCTCTTATGAAGGAAAAGAGGAAGGAAGGGAGGGAGAGAGGGAGGGAGGGAGGGTGGAAGGAAGGAAGGAAGGAAGGAAGGAAGGAAGGAAGGAAGGAAGGAAAGAAGGGAGAGAGAAAAGGTTATTTGACTATGTTTTATCACCTCACCTCCCTTTGGATGCTAGTTACTTTTATTTAAAGTCATGTAGATTTCAGAACAAAAATGCAGGTGCATTTCTAGTCAATTTAGAAATCATTCATTTGGGCTGGCCCCATGGCCTAGTGGTTAGGGGAGCCACGTCATATGTGGCTGACTGTTTGGTTCAAATCCCCACCTTGAGGGCTTGAAAAGCATGCGAAACCTCAGTAGAATGGGGAAGTGGAGAGAAGGGGCTGTGGGGTGGCCACACCCCCTGGAGGTGCTTTCTCCTTCTCCCCCTGTCTCTTTCTGTTTCTCTCTGGTGAGTGTACATGCCCTCCCCCTGGCACATAAAAAAGATAAAAAGAAAAAGAAAGGAAGAGAAAAAGGGAAAAAAAGGTTCATTCTTTTCCTTACAGTGACTTATAAAATAATAGATAATTAATTCTAAGTCCTAACTTTTGGAGATCAGCAATCCATTTTCACACCCAGATAAAGCCCACTCTTGAGAGTTTGATGAACATCACAGGAGAATAATACTGCATGCTCACTGCTTTAAAACACGCACACAGTGGGTCAGCCAACGGCATGATGGTAAAGGTGGCTGGATCCCACGTGGTGCTGACTTCATGGTTCAAGTCCCAGCCCTAGTGGCTTGAAAAACATGCTGGGTGTGTGTGTGTGTGTGTGTGTGTGTGCTCAAACTCCCGAGGAGAGAATAAAGAGAAAGGACGGTGATGGGAATTCCTCCCTGAGGAGTGATTTCTTACTCTCTCTCTTTCTGTCTCTGTCTCTTACTCTCCTTCTCCTTCTGTATGGCAAATGCATGTGCCCTGTGGTGACACTAAAAAATTAATAATGAAAGCAGATGCATAGTGTCACAGCATAGAAGTATGTAAAATAACTGTGGTTTGTTTCTTTCTCTATTTACTGCCTCAATCCCTTGCCTAGAGATATTGCTATTAGAGGTAGTATCTTTTCGAGACATGTAATTTCATTATTATCTCTCTATGGTGAACATGTGGGTGGATTCTAATTTTCTGATACCACACAGAATGCTGCAGTAAATATCCTTGTAAGCGTATTTGCACCCGGTTGCATAAGCATTTTGTAAAAGTAAAAATTGCTGGGTCCATGTGTATTTGTCATTAAGAAAATAATGGATTGAGGATGTCTTTTCTTTTTAAGAATTATTTATTTAATTTTATTTATCATTATATTATTTTTAAAATTTTTATAGGTCATGCATGCTCACCAGAGAGACAAACAGAGAGAGGGAAAGTGAGAAAGCAAACCACCAGGTCTGGGACTTGAGCCGTGGTTGGCCATGTGGGAGTCCAGTGCCTTAACTACCATGCTACTTGCTGGCCCTGAGGGAGTCTTTCTTCCCTCTTAAGTATTTGTTTTTCCTGTGAGATTGTAAGTGCGATGATATCTGTAGGCCCTGGCATTTCTGGCTTTGAACTTTTCCTGTTATCTGCATCAGACCTAGGGATGTTTCTGCCTGGGGCAGTGGCTTTCTACTACTGAGGGGAACACCGTGGGGGCAGAAGAGCCTTGTCTGGGGGGGACCAGCAGTTAGCGTAATGGCTATGTCACTGAACTCCCACATAGTCGACCACGGTAGTCGACCACGGTAGTCGACCACGGTTTGCGTCCCGAACTCGGTGGCTTAAAACTCACGCCGGGTGCAAGTGTGTGTGCCAAAGATCCTGAGAGGAGAATGGAGGAGAAGGGATTGTGGTGTGGCCATCCCCCCCTGGGGGGTGATTTCTCGCTTTCTGTCTCTCTGTCTGGCAACGGCGCGCACCCTATAGTGAAAACCTCTCCAAAAACAAAAAGAGAAAAGAAAAAAAAGAGTCCTGTCCGTACGTCATGGGAACTGGGTGCTCTTCCCAGGTTAGCAAGAAAGCAGCCGTGTCATGGCAGACGCTTGATCCTCTTTCCTTACCCAGAAAAGGGGCCAAGGATCCCAGCTGTGCCAAGCACTTTGTCTGAGGGATCTGGTAACACCCCAAAAGCACAGTGCTGTAGTGAGGGGATGTCAAGGCAGCCTGGTGCTCACGTGTCTGCTTCTCCCTTGCTCCCTCGCCGGCAGGGATGGCCCCCACCCGCAGCAGCTTCTGGCAGTTCCAGAGGATGGTCAAGCACGTCACAGGGCGGAGTGCCTTCTTCTCCTACAACGGATATGGCTGCTACTGTGGACTTGGGGGCAAAGGGGTCCCCGTGGATGACACTGACCGGTGAGTGCAGAGGCCCTAAGGCCACCCGTCATTTGATTTGCAATGAAGTCCACGCTCAAAGCCAGAGAGAGAGCGGTAGGACTTGGCATGGCCGGTCACAGAAACTGGCTCAGACCAGGATAAGAAAAAAACCAAATGGGAGTCAGAGGGCAGCTCTTGAGAAAGCCAGGGCCAAGGCCACCTTGACTGTGTGGCCCGTGAAGTTACACAGGGTCCAGTCCTCCTACGAGCCTGACTGTCATTTACTGCTCTGCGGTCACCATTCTGAAATTCTTCATAAGGGGCCCTGCTTCCTGCTTTTGCAGTGGGCCTACAAATAATGTGGCTGGTCCTGCCCAGAGCTCTAGAAACCTCCGCATCCTCTGGCAAGTGTGCTCTTCTCTCAGCTCCTGAATTTGGGGACTATTGACACAGCAAGACTGACTTGCAGTCTCCCAGGCCTACTTCTTTATTCCAGGAGGAAGAATCCACACAGCCCAGTTTGCAGAAGTCCATCTGGGCAAGGTCGCACTGCACAGACCCGGCCTCTAGGCCAGGGTGGGGTGGGGGAGTGCAAGTTTCTAAAAGGAGCAGAGATTGGTATCATCTCCGTGAGGGTGTGGGGGGTGGTTGGAAACAGAGTGGTTTATATTCCGTTTCATCTGAAGACCTGAGAAAGCAAATACATTGCTTGCCCCATTCAACCTAGGAGAGTTACGTGTGTCCCCACAGTGGGTCCTGAAAGACCTCTCCTGGCACCGTGGAGGGGCACCGATGTTCAGGAACTGCTCATTATGTGCAGAGCTCTGGGACTGGCGATTTGCACACAGGGCCTGACTGAAAGTACAAGACGGTGTCCCACCCCCATTTTACAGGCGAGGCCCATGAAGAGCCAAAACCGAGGATCACTAACCCACCTGCCCAGAGGCACACAGCGCCTAAGTGGCAGAGTCGGGGTTTGAACGAGAAGTTCCCAGTTTCGAAGTCTGCCCCTTTTCCTTGATGCTCTGTAGCTCCACATCCAAAGGCAGATTAGAAACAGTGCTGTAGGCCAAAGATGGCAAATGGCAAAGAGCCTGCTCGCAGATGGGGACGGCAGGAGAGGACGACGTGCCTCTTCCTTGGCATTTCGGGCCTTAGAATCCAGTCCCAGCTTCTGCGTTCCTGCGCCTTGTACGCAGATTGAGGAAGCGGGCTGAGGCTGGTCCCGACATTTTCCCTCCGTAAACGCTCTCCCGTCCAGCCCCAGCCAGCTCTGAGTGCCTGCGAGCGGGGACCACCTCTGTCCCTGCCACAGTTCTCTCCTCCGAGACTCCCGCAGTGCTCGGCACATAGTAGGCACGCAGTAAAAGCGGTTAGATTGAGGAGTCAGTCACATGACCTAGATTAAGTCCTAGTCCTTCACTTTCCAGCTGTGTAATTTGGGGGAAGTCACGTCTCTGAGCCTCATGTCCTTCCCTACAAAATGAGGACAGTGCCTGAATTCCATAGGGTCACTGTGTGACTCGTGAGGGCTCGGTAAGTGTCACCGGTGGTTTCCATGATGTTTCGTGTCATCGGTAAGTCACCTCTTCCCCTTCAGTTCCGAGGGAGGAGGTGGGTGAGGCCTTTGCAGTTCTGCCAGCTGACTCAGGTCTGCCAGCCGACTCCCCGGGACCCACCCCAGATGGGTAAAGCCCCTCGTGTCCTCACCTGGCCCACAGGTGTTGCCTGGCACATGACTGCTGCTACGAGAAGCTGAAAGAGTCCGGCTGCCAGCCTGTGCTGAACAGTTACCGGTTCCACGTCGCCAACGGCACGGTGGTCTGTGAGTAGCCTTCTCCGCAGGGAGCTGTCGTGAACCTGGCCCCTCCTTAACCACCCCCTCGTGGACCCAGAGAACGCCGAGGAAATGAGATTTTTCTAAGCGCTTTGAGGTGGAAAAGGGCGATTCTGAGAATCAGGGCTTCTGGGAGCCTCCTTGCTTGGTCTCCTGCCCACAGCTATCTCCCCAGCACCTCTGGGGGCCCAGAGCCTGGCACACAGTACATGCTCATTAAACAGCAGTGCCTTGACCCTGGCGTCTTCTCCTGGCACCCTCTTCCTGTCCTGTGTTAACAAGGTGGTTTCAGCATCTTTCAGACGAACAAGTATTTGTTAAGGTCAATCATATGCCAAGCATGGTGGTAAGCACTGTGGGGACGCAGAAGTAAACAGGAAGGGGCGGGAGCTTGAGTGTCATTGGGGAGGAGAAGGAGCAGGGGAAGGAGCCGGGTGGGCTGGTGTGCAGCAGGCCTGGCACCTGGGGCGTGGCTCTGCTGTCCAGGGAAACACACTGTGGCAGGTGGGCTGTGAGCGTGAGGACCCCAAGTCCAGCCTGAAGAGCAGGCACATTCGCAGTACTGCCTGTTCCAGTGTAGCTGGCCACAGTGCCCTTCCGGTCTGTGGCTCACTTCCTGCCCAGCCTGGTGGAGTTGCACGAACCATTTTCCTCCCAGCTGTATTCACTGACAGCTGTGAGTGTTTTGCGGCTCATCTGTCTCCTCCCAAGGTCAGGGGACTACCCTCTCCCCTCCACTCATAGCCTGGGGTGGGAAGTACATCCTCCCCACTTGCCCCTTACATAGGGTGCTCAGTGCCCAGGCCCAGCTCTCCCCAGCGTCCTCCGCCCAGGGCTCCTGCTCACTCACACTGACAGAGTCAGGACTCCCCTGCAGCAGCTTGTGACCCAAAACATGGTGGGCTTGGGGCTCACACCCCTGCAGTGGGAAGTCGGCCTCGGCCAGGTCCTCTACTCAACCTGCACAGCTCGTGCACCTCAGTGCACTGCTAACAGGAGAAGAACCCCATTTCTTCCCGGCGTGAGCTCAGGGAGACATCCTGAGTTGTAGCTCTCTGGCCTAACGGAGAGCCTCTTCTGTGACACCGCTGCCCCCTGGCCACGCCAGGAAATGGGAAGGGATTGGGGACCTGGACTGGAATGCTCAGGGCCCTGGGGAGTGGGGGGGGGGGTGTCCCAGCTCCTGACCCCGATTAACACTTGCTTCAGTTTGCAATTTGCAATGCTCTCCTGGTCAGCCAGCCTCAGCTGGCTGCATGGGAGCTGCGGGCTGGGGACTGGGGGCTGCCTTGCTGGTGGTTGGTGAGGGAGGGTGGCATAAAGGTACCCTGACCCTTTTCTGAGCCTGGCTCACCATCTCACTTTCATGTGGCTTCTTCCCACCTTTCTTCCTCTTTATCTTAACTTGGTCATAACACTGTGACCTGAACATGGTTGAAAGGCTTCACATTTGGAGGAAAGTACTCAAGGGTGCTCTCTCATGCTCCTGTAAAGCACAGGGACCAGGAAAAAGGGGAACGGACTCTCAGCAGCTGGAGCGAACCTTCCCCTTCTGAAGGCTGAGGCCCAGACCGAGCCTGGGTGCTGGGCTTGCGGGGGCTGGTGCACCTGAGGTCAGCTTGGGCACTGTGCCCAGAACCCCAGGAGAGTGGGAAGACTGAGCTGGGCAGAGGCTGGAGCCCCAACAGTGTCACAGAAGATGTCTCTGATTGGCACATTATGACTGGTGGCATGAGCTGGCAGCAGGGTGTGGGAGCTGGGCTAGAAAGCCCATGGCCTGGGCTGCCAGGTAGAAGCAGCCAAGGGTTCCTGAAACCTCATCCCAAGTCTCCCAAGTCCAGACCCTGCTTAGGGACTGAGCATGGGAGGAGGCCTCTGCGTCAGCTCCAAGCTACCAGCACCCACTAGCTGACCTGGCCAGCGAGCACCAGGCTGACCCTGTCCTCCCCACCTGCCTAGCCAAGCCCCTACTCCCTACTCCCAGGGCAGGCCTGAGGACCAGTGATCTGGGTTCCAGTCCTGGCTCTGTTGGTGCATTCATTCACTTGCCCAGTATTGATCGAATGCCCACTGGGTGCCAGGGCCGGTGGCCAGGGCCACAGAACAAGGCAGACGCCGTGCCTGTTCTCCTGATGTCCACACGGTCTGGGAACCGCAGAGCTGAGAGCACCCCTAGGGACTGTCCTGACCAACACCTCACTGGAGCCATGGGGAGTCTGAGGCCCACAGAAGGGAAGAGCTGGTCCGAAGGACAGAAGGGGTTAAGACACATGTGTCTTGGGCCTTCCCACTGCTCTGGAACATGCTACCCGCCTGGTTATCTGGACCTCGGTTTTCTCATCAAATAGATGCATTGACAGTAGCTGCAGTGCCTGCATGTCTCTGATAGACGCTCCACACACACGCCTGGCAGCCCTGGGAAAACCTCTGCAGTAACCTTCATTCTCCTTGTTGTCGAGGCCTCTGAGGCTCTGAGAGTTTAAGTGAGATGGCCAAGATCACACAGCCAAGGCAGGAAGAGTGGGATTCGGACACAGGTATCTGCCTGTGAAGGGGTGGTGGGCACGGGCTCGCTGGCCAGGCTCCCACAAATATAAGTCCCATGGTCTGCAGCAACTTGGCCGGAGTGCACCCTGGCCCAGGGGTGGGGGGTCCTCTGGAATGTGCCAGAGCTTCCCTTTCCCACAGGAGTCCTCAGCGTGCGGCAGAGCTGGGTCTGAGCTTAGCTGGGCCTTAGCCTCATCTGTAGATGGGCTGCCCATCTGCACCTCGTCCGGCCGCTAAAAGGCTGAGTAAAGAGCCCTGCTACACGCGCTGGCCCGGCAGTTGCCTGGTTAATGCCTTTCCTTTTAGATGTGGAGCCTTCCTTTTTCTCCTAGCTTTCCTTGCCCCTTTACACTGCAGGGAAGTGCTGGGCTTTTCCTTACTGCTGCTCTGAGGGTCTGCACTGTGCCCTCTCCCCCACCCCATTACACCTCAGTGTGGATAGCTGCTCCTGCAAGGGTTAACCGCTTCCCGCCTCCCCACTGCTGAAATCCTGCACCCAAGCCTGGTCCCAGGTTGCCTAGCAACCAGCAGCTGCTCCAGGATGGTTGTCAGTGAGCAGGGGAAGGAAAGAAGGAAAACAACTTGGGCTGTCCCTGTCTCTACATGTCCCTGGGAGAACAGAGCAGAGACAGGCCTGTAACCCAAGCCCAGGGGCCAATCTGCCTGGTGGTGACGGCTGCCCTCAGGCCACGTGGGAGTGGTTATGCTCCCTTGAGGGGCTTACATAAGTACTCGGCAGTGCAAAGGGCTTTAAGGTCTCCCAGCAGGGCCGCCCCTCCCACCCACACATGCACATGTGTGTTGTGTGGGGACAAGTCTAGGTGGGAAGCAGAGCCCGGGTCCCCCAAGTGTACCCTTTTTTTTTTAATTATTTAACTTTATTTATTCATTTATTTATTTATTTCAATTTGACCAGAGAGGGATAAAGAGAGAGAGAGAGAGAGAGCAAGCTGCCAGGTCCAGGACTTGAACCCTAGTCAGTCACGTGAGAGTCCAACACCCTTAACCACCAAGCCACCTGCCCAAGTGTACCCTTCTCAGCTGCATTCCCAGGCCTCTGACTATGCCTCCACTGCTGAAGGGGAAGGTCAAAGTGGGGACCATTGAAATTCGTAGTTTGCAGACCTTTCTCACCCTCTTTCTCTCCAGCGTTCATCGCCTCCTGAGAGTATCCTGTTTGCTTCTTTGTTTACTTTTGCGTGGATTCTCCCCCAAACTGGAGTGTGAGTGCCTGAGAGGAGGGAGCAAACCTGTCTTACGTGGGGGCGCTCATGCCCCTAGAGCCCACAGAGGCAATGCCCCTGGACCTGTGAGTGTGAGGAACTGCCTGGTCGCATCTGTACCCCCAGTCCCTAGCCAAAGGCCAGGCACGTGCCGGGAACTCAATACCTATTAGTTTAATGAATAAAGAAACTCACTAAATATGAAAGGCAGGTCATCTTTATCCCCATGAGAAAGCTGGGGAAACAGGCTCCGAGGGAGAGCAACTTGCTCTAGGTCCTGAAGCATGCGAGCTGCAGACCTGGATAGACCCTGGCTTCCTGTTTCCCAGGGCGGCCCCTTTCACCAGCTCCAGGCCCCGGATGTGCAGCTGACAGGGCAGCAGTGAGCCTGGGGGGCTGCCGCTGGGTGGACTCAGCACGAAGACCCGGCTGGGGCGCCTCTCTCTCTATTGCAGTCTCCCCTTCTCTCTTGCTCTCCCTGTCTCTTCCTCTCTCCCCGTCTCTGCCTCTCTCCCTCACGGAAAAATAAAGTTATGAGAACAAAACGAAAACAAGCTGGCAGGCTAGGGAATGATGAAGGAGGATGGAAGGGTGCCTTTTTTTTTTTCCGTTTTAAAAGTTTTTGCTATAGAACGCATGTACTCACGAGAGAGAGAGAGAGAGAGAGAGAGAAATTACCCCCTGGGGGTGATGACTACACTGCAATCCCCTCTCCTCCATTCTTTAGGATTTTGGGTGTACACAGAGGTTTCTCAAGCCACCAGGTCTGGGACTTGAACCACGCGGTAAGCCATGTAGGATCCAGCTGGCCTGACTTTCACATCCCCTAGCTGGCCCTGAAGGGTGCTTTCTTTTCTTTTTTTTGAAGGGTGCTTTCTTAGGTGGTCGAGAAAGACCTTTCTATGAAGGTGACATTCGGGCTGAGGCCTCAGAGCCAGTGTGGCAGACAGAGGCAGAGGAGGCTTGGGAAGGGCAGAGGTGAGGCTGGGCACTGGACCGGGGAGACGGGCCGGAGCTCGCCTTCTACTTCCATGGCAGAAAGCCAGCGTAGCAGGGTATCCTCTAATTGTGTCCCTGAGCAGTCATCTGGCTGTTGTGCAGAGAAGGGGCGAGCTCGGAGGCAGGAGACCCACCAGGAGGCTGCTGGGGCGTACCCGGGATGAGTAACCATACCGGGAGCAGGGTGGTGGTCCAGGTGTTCGCATATGTAAACAGAAGCAGACCAGACCATCTCAGGAGGAGACCCGTGGGAGGAGAGAAAGAGGGTGCTGTGTCCGTGAGGGGTTGCTGCGAGACCGTTCTGCAGATGGGGAGACACCAGTTGCTGGCTGTTTTGGAGGAACAGTTGATGGGACCTGCTGACAGATTAGACGTGGGTGTGAAGGAGAGAGGCTGACCCCAAGGCGCCTGGCCCGAGTGGCCGTAGACAGCGCTGCCATGTACTGAGCCTGTGCAGGC